AATCGAAAATAACTCAAAAGTCTGCCTCATCGGCAATCCCCCAATGGCCATGGTTACTTGATACAATGCGGCGGAGTGCCGAAGCAAAGACAACAAGCTACCGATCAGACCGAAGTGAAGTCGAAAGTGTAGATGAGCCGAAAGAGAATGAGATGAAATGAGAAGAGTGAAAGCGAAATTGAATGCAACTCCAATTGGAACTCCAACTAGCTTAAATGAATGAGACTGACTCGAGTTTCCAATCACAATCTGGTGACAGTTTTGAATAGATACTCATGCTTTGCATCAAAAACGTGGGAAGACCGCGAAGATACCTTCGTTCTGGTGAAAGCTGTGCCAACCGAGAGAACTCGTTTGACGAAACTGGCTCGCTCCACCGCACGTCTGTGCACGACAGAGCTGGGCTCCACCGAGGCCACCGCCCGGATCGAGGGACTCTGACCGACGGGATCCAGCAGACTGGACCGCGGCAGCGCCGGGTCTACAGGCAGGACAAGGGTGAAAAACTCCTTCAACCAGACGACCGAAAAGTCCGACTGTACCTCGTGGACTTGGTGGCCTGGCGCCGATTGGTTGTGCCCACTTGGGCGGACAAACCAGCCGAGTCCCGCTCCGAGGGCTCCGGCAACCGATGTCTCGGCGAGCCGGCGGTCCATGTAGGTGACCAGGGTCTCGAACCGCTGCGGTTCCCGACTCAGTCGGACCGGTTGCCAGGCCTTGAGCAGCTGACGCAACCGCCAGGCCGTGGCCGGTTGGACGACTGGAGCGTGGAAACGATTGGAGCCTGCAGACGGCCTGTGGCTCACGTGGTCGTTAGGGGCGCCGTCGTGTGCGCCACGGAAACGCGCCGACGAACGAGTTCGCAGCGGCAGAATGTGCAACTCGATGAGCTGGTCGACCAGTCTGGCGTCCGGTGGAAGAGTCTGTAGGGGACAAGTTAACCAGACCGGATTAGGAGCGATGAAGAAAAGCTGGCCGTAGAAAAATCCGTTAGTGAGTTATGCCAATTACAAGAGTACATTTCGGGGCCAAAGTTGGCTGGTTGGAAGGGATTCGTAAATCGGTACCATCGGAAAAAGAAGAAGGCTTAAGACAGAGTGTCAATTAAAGACTATGAATTGTGTTCACACTATTTCGTTTTAGGTGATGAAGAACTGGTAGCCGAATTTTCCCACAATCATATGAGTAGAGCTGACGCTTCCATTCAACTTTACACAGCTTTGATTTGCCAAAAGGTGCCGTATCGACTTCGCATAGGTCTTAACAGCACCCCAAGCGGGATTCGAACCATGACTGTCCAGCGTGTAAGCTCGACTAAATAGGGTGAGTACAATTTATGCATTTGATTTACTGGTAGTCTCAAAAACCTACTCACTTATGAATTAGAGACTGTTTAATTGTGCGAAAAAACCTTTGCTTTTCCATCCTGTACTAAACTTTGACAGGCACCGTCAGAGCAAATGACGAAACTTGAAGAAATACAGTAACAATATACTCTGTCTCCATTATAGCATTGCGCGAATTCGTAGAGTATGTATTCATGCTGTGATGCCGTCTTTTTCTGGAGATTTTAATTCCGTATGAAAGTGCATGATGAAAAGAGATTGGTTGGTTGATCTCAGCGAAAGACGACGACCGATTTGTATTATTCTTCAACAGTCCACGAGACATCTTTTGTCCATCGTATGGACATCATCAGACCTGGAAGTCATTTTTGTAAGTGCTAAGTCAACACCGGATCAAGAAGACTCTCCGGCTCTTTTTTATATCTTTTATATATTCATGCCTAAAGAACGAAGATATATAAACATAGATAAATAGGTATATAATTATTTAGCTAATTCTCTCCCATATTGGTCATTGTAGTTTTACTTAAGTGGGTTTGTCTGTGTATGTATGTGTGTGTGCGTATGTATTAATGTATGTACGCAATACCGGTCCTAGATCAGAGTAATTATGAAAGCGTAACGTCAGGCTCAATGATCGAGACTGCGTAAGTCCGAAAGCAGGTCTGGTTGAGATTGTTGGATGTATTCGTATACGCGGGTAGGTCAGGTCACGAAACCAACCGTCAGAACCCATCAGTTTAGGGTAATAAAGATATTTATAAAAGATGGCTTTTGAAGAATCCCTAAATAACTGGATGTTAGGGTGGCTTTTATGTTGCTGTAATTTGCGAGTGTAGAGGATTCGTAAGTTGTTTTTATCGTAAGCCTTGGACCTGTAACCGCAAATGTGTACGAATATGTTCTCGGCTAACCGTCGCGCAGCCTCGATGGATTCTTGCTGTGTTATCGTCCATCATGTGACAGAAATCATCAGAGCAAGAAACCATGCTTTGCGATAATTCGCTAAGCCCAAGACAAAAAGGTGCTTTCTGATGTCACAATTGGTGTGAAGGATGAAACTGAATTGATTAGGAGGTCTTGAGCATGTAGTGTTGAGCTGATTTCGATGCATGCAATCTAACACCAGTTTTTCAGTGATGTCAACTGATTCTATCTGATATTAGTAGAAAACAGCTTTCAAAATTATAGGAATTATATGAATAAGAGTTCTGCACAGTCTTGAGTTCACAAGATGGTGATGAATTGATAGTTGCATTTTGTCACAATCATATGAAAAGGCCTCACAATTACGTAGAATTCCATTCACGTTGAAAATGAATTTTGACAAACAAGGCAAATTGAAGGTATGAATATAAAATGTATGCACCCTATTTCGTATAAGGTGATGAAGGACTGGTAGTAGAATTGTCCCACAATCATATGAAATGATCTGACGTTTCCATTTAATTTCACATGGCCTTGCTTTCCCAAAAGTTGTTCTCATCCAGGCACCAGTGAACTGCAGTTTCGACCTCGCATCGGTC